AAACAGCAGGGACAGCACCAGTACCCCCAGCAGGAGCACCCGCTCCAGCAGCACCTCCAGTAGCTCCAGAACCTCGAGCAACACCAGGAGCACCCCCAGCAGGACCGCCAGCGGTAGTCTCAGCGCCAACACCCTCAGCAGCACCAGCTCCAGTCGAACCCGCAGGCCCAGCAGCTCCAGTACTCCCAGTACGAGCACCTCCGGGACCCGCAACAGCAGCACCCTCAGTAGCCGACGAACCTCCAGCACCAGCAGCACGGCTCCAGCGCCGGGCAAACCACTCGCGCAGCTCCTGTGGAGAGAGTGGCTCCCGGCGAGACAAAGCACGCGTAGAAACTCGAGGCGGAGGACCTCCAGGCGCAGCACTCCCAGGTCCAGCACCCCCAGGCAAAGCACCCCCAGGCGTAGCACCCCCACACTCAGCACCCCCAGGCTCAGCACCCCCAGGCTCAGCACCCCCAGGCTCAGCACCCCCAGGCTCAGCACCCCCAGACTCAGCACCCCCAGACTCAGCACCCCCAGGCTCAGCACCCCCAGGCCCAGCACCCCCAGGCCCAGCACCCCCAGGCTCAGCACCCCCAGCAGTACCAGAGTCACCAGTGACCTCGACAGGCTCGACTGCGTCTACCTGGGACACACCTGAAGGGGCAGGACCCTGAGGGGGGAGGGGGTCTACCGGGGGGGGACCTGGTACAAGGAAGAGCGGGGGCGGGGGGGGGGACGGAGTGCGGTAGGGGAAGAGGCGGTAGTAGGGTACCGACTCGTCGAACGTGACGTCCTGAGAGGACAGAACACGGCGAGAGGTGGGGTGGTAGAACTGCCACCCAGGCGCGTCTGGGGGGAACCCCAGGAAGACAACACGAGGGGACAGTTTGTCCGCAGACAAGTCGCGGACAAACGCCCGAGATCCCCAGACCCGGAACGCCGACGCATCGCCCACCTTCCCGGTCCACAGCAAGGCTGGGGAGGTCTCCGGCCTGGAGACCCTGGGGTGAAGGTTGATCTGACGTGCCGCGTACCTCACCGCAAACGGCCACAGAAAATGGGGGGCAGCCGCATGCATCATAGACGTACGAGCGACGTCCATGACCATGCCAATGCGGCGCTCAGCAATCCCATTTTGCTGCGGAGAGTCCGGGAGCGTGAAGGTCTGACGGATGCCCCGTGCACGACAGTAGGCTCGCAGAAGGCCAGAGGAGAACTCTCCGCCTCTGTCCGAGTGCAGACGCAGAACAGGAAAGTCGGAGCCAAAGCTCTGCCCGAGCTGGAGACGAGCTGCGCGGATCCAGTCGATCAGCACCTCAGTGACATCACCCTTGCCGCGCAAGGGGAAGACTGCGGTGTAACGCGAGTAGTCGTCAACAACGAGCAGGAAGTAGCGCTCGTGACCCTGCCCACGGACGCGGGCTGGGCCCCACACGTCCATGTGGAGCGTCTGCAACGGGGCCTCTGTCGGAGGAAACTGGGAGGAGTGAGGGGCAGCACGCTGGCGCCCCTCGACACAGGGGACACAGGTAGGGCCAGGGCCCTGAGGAAGGGGAGGGAGGGACCGGGGGAGACCAGACACTAGAAGACGGGAGGCCATGCCTCTGAGCCGAAGCAGAGAGGGGTGACCAAGACGGTGGTGCCAGAGAAGAGTCTCGTGAGACAGGAGACGACAAGAACAGGGGGCAGACTCAGGACCAGACCTGGACGCAGCAGCAAACACCTGACCCGACGAAGCGACTCTACCAGACTCAGTAACGGGAGGAGACGCAGTGGTCAGTGTGTACAGGCTCGACCCCGGCTGACGGGTAAACGTAGCCAGGTGTCGGCCTGTGCTAGCCTCTGTACAGTGCGTCACCCGCTGACGCGCAGGAGTGAACTGGTGTACACCCGCATCCTGTAGGTCAGCACCACTCACCAGGTTCGTAGAGAACGAGGGGAGGTAGAGACCAGACAGGGTGCCAGAGGGAGCCGCCGGACACGGGAGGACTGTGGAGAAGCGAGACAGGACAGGACCCCCAGAGGGGTCAGCCAGAGACACTGCAACCGGTCGACTCAGCGGTGTGAGTGTGGTGCGGTCCCTAAAGAAGGAGCGAGACGCCCCAGAGTCAAGGGTGAAGGTGAGGGAGGCCGAAGCCGACGTAGTACCTGAGAGCGCAGACTCACCAGTACCTGAGGACGCAGACACACGAGCACCTAGGGCAGCAGCGTCGCAAGCACCTAGGGCAGCAGCCTCACCAGGACCTAGAGCAGCAGTCTCAATACCCGGATCGGGCGGGAAACACCGGTAACAGTCACCCTCATCACTAATAGACACAGCATACATGGCAGAGAGAATAGCATCAAAGTCAAGATCATAGATGGCAACACCCGCCCTGGACAGGTCACCCCAACGAGGGATCTCTGAGGCCTCCGGGAACTGGTGACGCCACGCGTCCGTCAGGCGGCCAAAGCAGCGCTGAGTGGGGTGGGGACCCCCACACTGCTCACCCGCACGGTCGCCGGTGCGCAAAACGTAGGAGCACGGACCAAAACCCCCACCTCGCTGACGCGCAGTGTACCACTCACGAAGCTGCTGAGGGGACAAGGTGTCACGACCACGCTGCTGCTGCTGGCGCGAGCCACCACCGGAGCCACTCCTCTGCGAAGACCCGCGACCAGCACCACCTCCACCCCCGCCGCCTCCTCCGCCTCCGCCGCCTCCGCTACTGCCGCCGCCTCCACCTCCGCCTCCGCCGCCGCCACCTCCGCCACCCCCGCTCCCACTGCCACCGCCGCCGACACCTCCGCCTCCACTGCCGCCACCGACTCCTCCACCCCCACCTCCACTCCCACCGCCACCCCCACTCCCCCAACTGCCGCCACCTCCACCTCCACCGCCCCCGCTCGCCCCTCCAGCGCCCTTGCCCCCCTTGCCCTTGCCAGAGCGGCGTCTCCCACTAGGGGCAGACGCCACACCGACCGACTCAAGACCAAGGAGGTCGGCCGCAGCAGCAGAGGCAACAGAGGGCAGAAGGGGGGAGGGGGAACACCCCTCAAAGATGGGGGTGCGCGGGTCACCACGAGAGGCCCCTACAGCGACTATGCTCTTCTCGGCCGCTAGGAGGGACTTCTCGAGGAGGTCAACAGTGAGAGTGGTGGGACAGACAGAGAGAAAGTGGTCCCTGACTACGCGAAGGGAGTCAGGAAGGCGAGTGACTATGTAGTAAAGAGTGATGTACATGGGGGGGGGGTTCTTGGCGCAGAAGTCAGCAGGGAGTGCAGCGCGGTAGCGAGTGTCACTAGTGCGGAGGTGCGTAATGAGGTCAGCGACTGTGGGAAAGGCAGCAAGGTCAGGAAAGAGGTACGGTAGCATGAGACGGCTCAGTGCAGCAGTGGCAGGGGAGGAGTAGCGCGCAACTACAGCGTCGCACAAGGTCTGAGCACTCTTGTACTGACTAAAGTGTGCACGCTCGGAGGTAGGGAGGTGGCGACGCACAGCAAGACGTGCAGCAGCGTCGCGCGTGGCCCACTGGGAGCGAACAGTGGCATCGGCGTCAGCAGCAGGGGCAGTGGAGGCGCCAGAGGTGAGGTCAAAGAGAGAGAGACCATCTGCCCTATCGCACTGTAAGAACAGCTGCAGGTCATCCACCCAGACCTCAAAGTCAATGGCCCGACCCTCAGCGTCAAAGACTAGAACACTAGGGGTAGCCATGACCCTAGACGACTGGCAGCGCAAACAGTAGGGTGAGGGCAGTGCAGTGAAAGGGCGCTGTGCTCACCAGACTGGACAGGTCGGGCGGCCCGGAAGGAGGGCGGCGCGGCGGCTCGGCGGCTCGGTTGCCGGGCGGCTCGGCGGCTCGGCGGCTCCGCTGCTGGGCGGCACGGCTGCTGGGCGGCTCGGCTGCTGGGCGGCTCGGCTGTTGAGCGGCTCGGCTGCTGGGCGGCTCGGCTGCTCTGCTGTCGGGCGGCTCGGTTGTGCTGCTGAGGGGCAGCACGGCTCGGGCTGCTCGGGCGGTGCGGGCGGCTCGGGCGGCTCGGGCGGCTCAGCTCCTCAGCGGCACAGGCGGCGTGGGGACCGAGACGGCGGCGCGCGGCTGGGACGGGCGGCGCACGGGCGGCGTGGGGCCGGGACTGCGGTGCGCGGCCGGGACGGGCGGCTCACGGGCGGCGTGGGGCCGGGACGGACGGCGCGCGGGCGTCGAGGGGCCGGGACGGGCGGCGCGCGGGCGTCGAGGGGCCGGGACGGGCGGCGCGCGGGCGTCTAGGGGTCGGGCCGGGTGGCGCGCGGGCGTCTAGGGGCCGGGACGGGCGGCGCGTGGGCGTCGAGGGGCCGGGACGGGCGGCGCGCGGGCGTCTAGGGGCCGGGACGGGCGGCGCGCGGGCGTCTAGGGGCCGGGACGGGCGGCTCACGGGCGGCGAGGGGCCGGGACGGGCGGCGCGCGGGCGTCGAGGGGCCGGGACGGGCGGCGCGCGGGCGTCGAGGGGCCGGGACGGGCGGCGCGCGGGCGTCTAGGGGCCGGGACGGGCGGCGCGCGGGCGTCTAGGGGCCGGGACGGGCGGCGCGCGGGCGTCTAGGGGCCGGGCCGGGTGGCGCACGGGCGTCTAGGGGCCGGGACGGGCGGCGCGCGGGCGTCTAAGGGGCCGGGACGGGCGGCGCGCGGGCGTCTAAGGGCCGTGACGGGCGGCTAAAGGGGCCACTAGGGGCCAAGAGAGAGGGGAGCGCGACTCGGGTAGGGGCAGAGTGCGCTCCGGGCAGGAAAAAAAAAAACGGTGGGCCCTAGGAACAGTTCCCACGAGGGAACCTGCTCGATACCATGAGAAGAATGAAGAACGAGGATGAATGAACTATGAATGAGGTGAGTACATATAGAAAACCCTAATTGGGTTGTACCCCCTATGGGATACCCCACTATAGCCTACACAACAGCATAAGCTATATAATGTTCTGACATACAGAGCACAGCGTTTGCGTGCACAAATCAGCCCACCCCAAGAGCCCTAAAAACCAGCCCACCATGCACGCTTGAAAGCGTTTAGTTGAGGGGCTCCCTTGGGAACTCCTCGACGGGGCTGAGCTGCTTGTCGCGGTGGTACTCGGTTTGCACGCAGTCCACGGACAGCACGGAGCTCGACTCGTACAGCCGCGGAGTACCGTCCAGGAACCCAGCGCCCTCCTCGCTGTCAGCCGAGATCGGACGGTGCAGGTTCGCGATCAGACGCTGGAAGTCGGCGGCGCGCGCCGCGTGGTCGGGGCGGTACGTCTGGCCGAGCACGCCGTGCACATCGTCGGTGTGCTCCAGCTCCACGATGCCCATGTTAATGTGCGCCTCGGCGTCGTTGGGCGACGCGCAGACGCAGGTCGAGCGCCACGAGCCCGTTGATGTTGAGCGTGTAGTAGTCCACGTCATACGGGCCCTCCTTCTCCAGAGCCGCCAACCTCAGAGTCAGCCCGCCCTCCGTCGTCACCTCGTCGCCCACGCTCATCATCGGGATCTCCTCGCCGTCGATCTCGATCGCCTTCATGAAGCCCTCGCCGCGCTCCTGCTGCTTGCCGCCGCGCGCCGCCAGCCGCACCTTGTGGTCGGCGCCGTTGGCGAACCACACGATACCCAGCTCCTTGATCCACGTGTGCACGGCCTTGCAGTCCACCACGAGCGCCGCATTCTCCGTGTCGTCCGAGTAGTACCCGCGCAGCAGCATGTTCACGTGCAGGTCGCGGTCCGTCAGCAGGCAGAACGCCTTGTCGGGCCGCCCGTTGAAGTCGAAGTGCGTGCCGTACACGCAGCAGAGCGCGAGCGAGACGCAGAGCGCGAGCAAGAGCAGCGGACGAGCGAGAGAAATTGAGAGCAGAGCGCGAGCGAGATGCAGAGCGCGAGCAAGAGCAGAGGACGAGCGAGAGCAAGTGAGAGCACCAGGCTGCGTCGAGTCGGGTGTCTGCGTCGGGACAGTTAGCTGCGTCTTGCTCGTGCAGAGTACTCACGCACGAGACTCAGCGCTGGCACCACCGTCTTGGTCACCCCTCCCTGCCGCGTCTGCGCAGCATGCACTCCCGTCTCCTTGTCTCTGGCCTCCCCAGGTCCCTGCCCCCCCTGCCGCGCTCGCTTGCCCCGCCGTGCCTTCCTTGCGTCGAGGGGCGGCAGCGCGCCGCTCCTCACTCCTCTGAGTCTCCTCCGACCACTGCTCCTCTGCAGACTCTCCACATGGACGTGTGGGGCCCGGCCCCCATTGGTGGAACAGTCCGCGAGCGCTACTTCCTGCTGGTTGTTGACGACTACACACGCTACACCACTGTCTTCCCCTTGCGGCGCAAGGCGGACGTCAGCGGTGTCCTGATCCCCTGGATCCGTGCTACTCGTCTCCAGCTGCACGAGCGGTTTCAGCAGGACTTCCCAGTCCTGCGTCTGCACTCTGGCAGGGGCGGTGAGTTCTCCTCTGACCTCCTTATGGGGTTCTGTCGAGACGAGGGCATCCGCTAGTCGTTCACACTTCCGGCCTCTCCTCAGCAGAATGGGATTGCTGAGCGTCGCATTGGCTTGATCATGGAGGTTGCTCGCACCTCCATGATCCATGCGGCTGCTCCCCATTTTCTGTGGCCGTTTGCGGTCCGATACGCTGCGCATCAGCTCAACCTCTGGCCCCGTGTCTCTGCGCCAGAGACCTCGCCCACACTCCGGTGGATGCGGAAGGCTGGCGATGCGTCAGTGTTTCGGGTATGGGGCGCGCTCTCCCTTGTCTGCGATGCCAAAGCGAGCAAGCTCTACTCTCGCACTCTCCGCTGCGTCTTCCTTGGCTTCCCCACTGACGCCCCGCCGTGGCAGTTCTACCACCCGCCCTCGCGTCGAGTCTTCTCCTCCCAGGACGTCACCTTTGACGAGTCTATCTGTTTCTACCAGTTACACCCGCACGCGTCCCACCCGGTTCCCCTAACACCCCTCTTCCTGGTACCAGTCCCCCCCCCGGTAGATCCCCTCCCCCCACAGGGTCCTGCTCCCTCAGGTGTGTCTCAGGTCGACCCACACCCCTTGGATGAGCCAGTGGAGATCTCTTCTGACTCCTCTGGCCCAGCTGAGGGGGGTGACCCAGTTGCGGACGACACGGCGGCCACTCGCCGCTCTCCACGCTTGGAGACCCCCCCGGGTTTTCCGCCTCGACCGTCTTCGCCGCCTCCGCAGCCTGCTGCTGTGGACTATGGAGCTGAGACTACAGGTGCTGAGACTGGGGGTACTGTGCCTGAGGTTGCTCGCTCTCCTCGCTTGGAGACCCCCCCTGGTTTTCCGCCGCGGCCGTCTTCTCCACCTCAGCAGCCTGCTGCTGTGGACTCTGGAGCTACTGTTAATGGTGACACTGGGGGTGTGGGTTCTGGGGGTGCTGCGACCGAGGGCACGGGTTCTAGGGGTGCTGCGACCGAGGGTGCGGGTTCTAGGGGTGCTGCGAGTGGAGGTGCTGACTCTGGGGGCCCTGCGAGCTCTAGTGACAGTGGAGCTGTGGGTGTCCCTGCTGGAGGTCCAGGAGCTGGACAGCCTAGTCCACCTGAGGCGCCCTCGCCGGAGTGGATCCGTGCGTGGAGCGTTCGGCGTAGCAGTCTTGGTGGTTGCGGTTACGGTCCTGCTGCTACTGGAGGTCCGGCTGGTGCTGGAGGTGCTGGAGCTGCTGGTGCTGGAGGTGCTGGTCCTGGTGCTGGTGCTGGAGGTGCTGGAGGTGCTACTGGTGCTGGAGCTGCTGGTCGTGCTGCTGGTCCTGGAGCTGGATAGCCTAGTCCACCTGAGGCACCCTCGCCGGAGTGGATCCGTGCGTGGATCGTTCGGCGTATCAGTCCTGGTGGTGGAGGTTACGGTCCTGCTGCTACTGGAGGTCCTGCTGGTGCTGGAGGTGCTGGAGCTGCTGGTGCTGGAGGTGCTGGTCCTGCTGCTGGTGCTGGAGGTACTGGAGGTGCTACTGGTGCTGGATGACCTGGAGCTGCTGGTGCTGCTGGTGCTGGAGGTGCTGGAGGTGCTGGAGCTGCTAGTGCTGGAGGTGCTGGTCCTGCTGGAGGTGCTGTTGGCCCTTGGAGGTGCTGGAGCTGCTAGTGCTGGAGGTACTGGACGTGCTGCTGGCACTGGAGGTGCTGGAGCTCCTAGTGCTGGAGGTACTGGAGGTGCTGCTGGTACTGGAGGTGCTGCTGGCGCTGGAGGTGCTGGAGCTGCTAGTGCTGGAGGTACTGGAGGTACTGCTGGTGCTGGAGGTGCTGGAGCTGCTAGTGCTGGAGGTACTGGAGGTGCTGCTGGTGCTGGAGGTGCCGCTGGCACTGGAGGTGATGGAGCTGCTAGTGCTGGAGGCACCGGAGGTACTGCTGGTGCTGGAGGTGCTGGAGTGCTGGAGGTACTGGACGTGCTTCTGGCGTTGGAGGTGCTGGAGCTGCTGGTGCTGGGGGTACTGGAGGTACTGCTAGTGTTGGAGGTGCTGCAGGTGCTGGAGGTGCTGCTGGTGCTGGAGGTGATGGACCTACTGGTGCGCTTGGCCACCTCCTTGGTCTTCCGCCAGCTCCGACTGAGTTCCCTGTCGCTGGTACTACTCCGCCTTTACTATTCCCACCACCATACCTGTCTCAGCCACAGCTACTCCCTCACTCCCCACTGCCTACTCCTACTCCTTACACTACTGTGACAGAGTCCCTGACTGAGCGTCGAGAGCCTGAGACTCGTGCTTCCACTCCTGAGCGTCGAGAGCCTGGGACTAGAGTTTCTGTTCGTGCTCGTGTTCCTCGTGTTCGTCGTCCTCGTGCTCCGGCTGTCCCAGGCACTCACGATATGACACTCCGTCCTTCATCTGTGCCACAGCGTGTTTCCTGCCCGAGCCTCCTGCGTCTTCTCTTCCTGCCGTTGCTGACCCTCCGTCCGACCTTACTCGTGCGTCCAGTCCGACTGTTACTTGCTTTCTTGCTACGGTTGTGACGGACCCTACGTTCTCGTCTCCTGCTGCGTCTGCCTTAGTCGCTGAGCTAGTTGACTTTGCTGCTGCGTACCGCCTAGACTACCTTGCGAGTCTCGTTTCTGACCCTGACCCTGCCTGTCCTCCGTCCGTCGGGGGTGAGACTGCCCTTGGCTGTGACATTCTTGAGGACAGACAGGAGGAGCTGGAGTGCCTTGCGGCTGCTGTACCTCATCTCGTTACCATGCTGCTTGCCCCTGAGGGAGACCCGGATGCACTTGACATCCCCACCCCGCGCTCTTACAGAGAGGCGATCTCGGGTGAGTAATCCTCTCAGTGGCAGACAGCCATGGACGCAGAGATGGCTTCCTGGAAGTCCACAGGCACCTACGTCGACGAGGTTCCCCCACCTGGGGCGAACATCGTCAGTGGCATGTGGATCTTCAGGGTGAAGTGGCCGCCGTGTTCTCCGCCTGCCTTCAAGGCACGTTACGTTGCTCGAGGCTTCAGTCAGCGTGAGGGGGTCGACTTCTTTCAGACCTTCTCCCCCACCCCGAAGATGACCACTCTTCGGGTGTTGCTACACGTTGCAGCACAGCGCGACTACGAGCTGCACTCCCTCGACTTCTCGACAGCTTTCTTGCAGGGTAGCCTTCACGAGGCCATCTGGCTGCGTCGTCCAGAGGGCTTCACTGGGTCGTTTCCTGAGGGTACCCAGTGGAGCCTACGGCGACCAGTGTACGGCCTGCGTCAGGCTGTGGCACGACACACTGAGGACGACACTTGCGGCTCTTGGGTTTGCTCCTTCCACTGCTGACTTGTCGCTGTTTCTGCGCACTGACACCACTCTACCGCCGTTCTACATCCCCGTGTACGTCGACGACTTGGTCTTTGCTACTGCTCACACTGAGGCACTGGCCCGCGTGAAGACGGAGCTGCAGGAGAGACACACCTGCACTGACCTGGGTGAGCTGCGGAGCTATCTTGGCGTGCAGATCACCCGGGACAGAGCACGGCGCACCATCACCCTGACGCAGTCACACATGGTGCACCAGGTCCTTCAGCGCTTTGGCTTCACGTGGTTCTCGCCACAGCCCACTCCTCTGTCTACCGGCCACTCGCTCTCAGCTCCACCTTCGGACGAGTCTGTAGAGCCGAGTGGTCCGTACCCAGAGCTTGTGGGTTGCCTCATGTACCTGATGACGTGCACACGACCTGACCTCGCGTACCCTCTCAGCCTTCTGGCTCGCTACATGGCTCCCGGTAGACACCGAAAGGTGCACATTGATGATGCGAAGAGGGTACTGCGGTACTTGTGCAGTACATCGGGCATGGGGCTCGTGCTTGGAGGACGGGGTTCAGTGGTACTCACAGGACACTCCGACGCTTCTTGGGCCGGCGACCAGGCGACCCAGCGTTCGTCACAGGGTTACACCTTCAGTCTTGGCTCTGGTTCTGTCTCGTGGAGGTCCACTCGTTCTTCTTCTATGCTTGGTTCCGGCTGTGAGGCCGAGATCTACGCTGGGGCCATGGCTGCACAGGAGCTACGCTGGCTGACCTACCTGCTGAGTGACTTGGGGGAGCGGCCTCGTTCTCCTCCAGTTCTGTACGTCGACAACAAGGCAATGCTTGCCTTGTGTCGCGAGCAGAGACAGGAGCACAGAACGAAGCACATTGCTCTTCGCTACTTCCTTGCACGTGAGCTGCAGCAGCGTGGTCAGCTCCGCCTTTCCTACGTGGCCTTGCGGGCCAACACTGCTGGTGTGTTCACCAAGGCCCTTGGGTCTGGTGAT